TATCCCTGATTTTGAATTGTGCTTGCTCAAGACTTACTTGATTCCTGTAGAGAAGCCTTGGTTTATTTTTATTTCATCTGAGGTGCCCAAGGATTTCAGAACCATTCTTCTCCCACTTTTTGCGTATATTTTTAGTTCGTCGAAAACTGTCATCAATGGCAATAATTTAATTTTTAAACCTAAACATGTTATAAGTATCCCATGGCAACCATATCACTTAAGAGGCTTTCGGTAAGAATCGTGATTTTTCTCGAGAACTGTACATATTAGGGCTTTAAGACCAAGGCCGCAGTATAGTTCCACAGGTCTCGTCTAGTTTCCGTTGAATTTCGAAACCTCTTAATTTGTTTGATGAATTATATTTATGTTTTTGTTCGAAGTTGGGGTTCATCTCTTCTTCATGAGATCCTCTTTTATTTAATACCTTATTTGCCAAAACCATCGCTCCTGAGAACAGAAAAAGTGATACAGCAACGTATAGTGTAAATTTTTAAATCAAATTGAATCATGAGCTGGTATTTGATTTTTATATTTTGAACACGTATTGTTTGTTAGACTTTCTTCTTCCTCTGCTCATATTAATTTGCTACCTCTCTTGGGCTACTCCAAGAAGTAGAGGAAGATCGGGGATCCTCCCAGAAGAGGGGACTTGGGGGTAGGTCAGGGGGATCGATAGCCGCCGAGAGCGAACCCCCTCCAGTTCCCGGCCAGAGGCGAGCGGGTACAGACTCGGCGGCCCCAGGTGAGGAGGATGCCTTCGACACGATAACTATGGGCAACTTCATCCCTTCGTCGCAAGTAATCTCCTTCAGTATCCTCTGGTTCCGTTTGCTAGTGAAGAACAGGTTAGTCTAGTTATTGACTCTTCTCACCGCTCAGGCAACACTTCTCTGGATATACACACTTTGCTTCAGGTACTCTTCACTTTTCCACACTGCTTACCTTTTTCACCCAACTTAATTTATTTTTAATTGCTTGATTATTCGCAATTATATATGTGAAAATTGTTTTTATTTTCTTATAGAAACATGTTTTATGTTATAAAACCATTGACGTTTAACTCGTGTTGTGGTTACTTACAAAATTCCTATTACCTAATTTACCTATACTGTTACTATACATAAACTGTAAATCGTGAACAGTGTTGGAGGATAATGAACTAAGTTATTTGAGCTGCAAGTTTTAACATTTTTTTTTTTAATTGTTCACTTAACTGATGAAGGACCTAATTCGCTGTGTTTTAAGTAAATTAATCCCTTTATAAGATCCACTGAAACGTTTATTACATATATGTTTATTCACTTAGGGCTTGTGCAATCTTAATGAAAGTAAACATAAGAAAAAAAAAAATTTTTTAAAGGTATTTAATTTATTAATATATAGTAACTGTGTTTTTATATTTTAGATTGAATTAATCTGCTAAAAGTTTTTGCTCATTGAGTTAACTTGGAACATCAAAACTGTTAGTCAAAATTTAAAATGAGGCCTCGTTGTATAAAATATAATAACGTATTTATCAAAAGAACATTTTTTATGATACCTCCCCCCCCCCCAAAAAAAAGAGGAAAGATTTTCCTTTTTAAATCCTCCCCAAAATTACGCAAACTAAAAAAATGTTTAAAATGACTACATTTTAAGTTATTATATATATGGAGAAAAGCAATATTTTCGGTTCCCAGACATTACCCAGGAGGTTTATTAGAGGATATAAAGTTCCCATAGTGGTCCTATGCTTTATTTGTAATGATAACAAAAATGTATAGAGATAGGAGTTGAGATTTTCGATATTTTAAGTTCTCTTACGTACGAAGTACGAAATTCTCGAACGGCAACAGTATTATTTACGTTAGATTTTATTCCTATGAAGTCTCTTAACAGTTGCCTTTACAAATTGTTACTTGTTCACTCCAACTTGCTGGTATTAGCGGGCCTCATGGTCAAGCAAGTTGTGTCGATCAAGTTCACTTCAGTTGCAACAGGTTTCTGAGTTTCTCTGTACGGGGATTGCTTTGGTTCGTTACCTTGTAATGAGAAAAAGTGATGGTTTTATTAACAGTGGAAACCTCCCTTATCAGTCTTAGTAGGAACAGAGATATCACCGATTAATCCGGAATGTTTTGAAAAAGGAAAAAAATCCACTTCAACTAGATTATTTGGTAAAGTTAAAATACAATGTAAAACTTAATATGTGTGCCGTATGTATATGAATCCCTATATGGTGTAGTTAAATTTATTAGACTAATTCTGTGGTACCGGAGGTAAAAAATAACATGTATATTTTTTCATTAATTGAAAAGAGTTCAGATTTAGTCACAAACAAACAAATCTTAATTGCTCATTTTCACTCAATGAGGTACAGAATTATTATTTTATTAGTATAAAGCCAAAAAACTGAGGTATATTAAAAGTAAGTAAGATAAGTGCTGTTTATAAGTTTTAATTAATTTTACTCTGTCAGTTCCATAAATTTGTCGTAGGAAAACAACTTTCCCTTTTATATGCTTTTGACCTTTTAGTTTGAATAATTTAGTTCTAATTACAGCGTAAATTATGATGTGATACGATATATTTGTTTGTTTTTAAAAATCTTAATACCGTCGGTTAAAATGGAGTGTCGGTTAAGCGAACTTCTATTACACATATATGCCGTGATGAAACATCTAAAATTTTTAGAAGGTCCCGAAAATACCCTATACTTCGTCATTACCCTTATTGTGTTCTAAAATATTATTCCACTTCTAAATCCTTCCTCTTGATGATTCTTTGTGAACATTTAACTTCCAAGATATTTACTTGATTTGAAATGTATATGCGTAGGTTATTGGAATATTTAAGGTAATGTAACAATTATAGGAATAAATCCATGTTATGATTTAATAAGTACATTATCTGTCCTCGTGACTTTTTTTAGGACTGCTACAGGTGAGACGTGAATTGTAATATCCATGTGTTGACTATTAAATTTATTCTATGATTCATGGCCATTTCATGTTGATAAGATTTTCATTTTTTCTAATTATTTAAACAATTCGTAAAATCTAATTCATAGGTAACTATTGTTTAAGCATCGCCTTGGCTGTTTTCCCCTGAGTTTTGATTACAGATTTCGTTTATTGACTTAGGTCGCAGACACCTCTAGTTTATTACTGAACTTATTTCGGTATCCCTTTTCCGCTGCTAAATATAATCGTCCGGTAGCCCGGTTTCGAGCGGCAATGACATTGCTCGAAATAACTCCCGTGTTAACCGGCTCCTAAGACTGCACCCCACGTCACTGGCCCATTCATACCCCGCTTTGTAACGGTTTTAGAAACTTTACCCGCCTTCTACCTTCAGCTGCTACTGTCAGGTCGGTTTTACTGAGTCAACAGATAAGATAAAATATATTTATCGGATTTATTTGAATCGGGAACCAGTTCATTAATTATTCAAACTAAGCGATATATTAAGCTTAAGTCAAACCTTTTCTTGTAGTTATATTAGCATTGATTACGATTATCTTGAATACAAATTATTTTTATCGGAAGAGAAAAAAGAAAAATATCTGAAGTATATCCTTATTTTAATTTTCGCTAAAAGGTTTTATTAGATTGTAATCTGCTGATAAAACATTCCTGTGTTATAAATAAACACATGTGTCACGTGAACTAAAATCTCATTATTTTTTGTTTATCTTATTTCTGCAACCTTCCAATTGCAATCAACAAGTTTGATTGTAATTTTATTTACAACAAGGTACTAAGTTAGTGTTTTAAAATTAATCCGTCTCGTTAAATTTATCAACATTTCATAAAAAAAAAATGTTCAATTGATCCGTAAACATGGCATTAATAATTAATTAGTTATTCATTTATTTTTTGAAGAAATTCATATCTAGTTAATTCTGGACTTATTTCACCTTCTACTTTTTGCTGTATATTTCGAAAATTCTTATTATTGATGTTAATAATAATTGAATTCGCCATGGATCTCTACTACGGATAAACGAACACCGAATTCATTAAAATCAGACATTTACTGGACTGCACGAAGACTCATAGTGATAGCCGAAAATCAAGACATCAATAATTATTGAGTCGAATATTTTAGAAACGGCACATTTATAATTTTTACCAGTTTTAAGTTTTGAATAATTTTGGATACACTGTTCGAAGGTTTATCTTTTATTGCAAAATAAACACATAATTCCTTAATCTGTTTCGAGCAGATATAACAAAAGTGGATCTGCAGAAGAGATTTTTCAAGGTCAGCCATAGGTCATTATTTGTTTGCATTAGCAACCTGAAGTTACGGTTACTAACTATATTAACACTTCTAATGACTAAAGTTTTATTGTGATGGAACTGCAGGATAGTTGGACTAACTTCTAATAGTTTAATATAACATATTAGAAGTCGATTCGTCATTATTTTCCTGCATTTCAGCATTCTTCTCTTTCTGTCAACACGTCTTTGAAAACAAAAATCAGTCTTACGATGCCAAGATTTTAAAAAACAGAAAGACTTTACTCTCCTCTCAAGAGTGTAAATATCACCTGTTCGTAGTCTACGTCGTTGGCTGCGAATATTTTGACCAAGTGCCATGTTTTGGTTTTCGATCAATCTATTTACTTTTCGAAGTTTGTAAAAACAAAGGCTCTGTATTTCATAAGGAAGATCCAGAATTTTAGTTGTTACTGATACATTTATAGTTACTGAACAAGTGAGAAGAGGAATCGAAATCAGGTTTACAACAGAAACATCACAAACGTTAAATATTATAAAACGTTATTCGAGCATACAGTGATGAGTTATTTCTATAACATGGTATAAATAAAATGTATAGATTTATTGGTTACAACAAATATTTTTGTCTATTAAAATTTGTGTATGCAATAATCTTTTGCGTATTTCTCAATACCTGTCGTTTCTGAATTATCCGATTCAATTATGAAGAATTTTTTGGTAAATAATTATGGATAGGAAAGGTATTGACTTGCAAGTTTGTTATGATTAGAAAAGATGTCGGACTGGTGCGTGCCCTATGGAGGTGGATGGGTAGGCGAGGTGCCCCTCGATATCCACTTTCACATGTGGTCCGTAGGCTACAACCCTCATTTTACTTTCATTTCTTAAGCTGGTAGTGGTTTATTTAATAGAAAGTTGTCTTCGATTTCTGTAATTTATCTGAATATAGTTCCCATAACAAGTACCTTCCTTACTGTATCGCTTAAGTACTACATTTAGACGTTTGCCATCATTCAAATTAATACCAGTTCTTTAAGCTCGTGGCTGATTCACGGATAATCATGATTCTTATGTTTGTCGATCAAACTTTTTTTGTTTTACATCATCACATATCTTCAGAAGAGATTGATTGTCAAAAAGCGATCCTGAATGAAATATAGTTATTTTTAGATATTTGTCTTACTACAGCATTTAATATATGTTGTTATTTTAACGATAGTGCTATTTCTAAACACCTCTGTTGCTGTACACTTTGTTTTTTAAAATGTTCTATTTAATATCCCTAATTAAGTATACAAACAAAATACATTACCAGCCTCCAAAAATATTTTTCATAGTAAATTTTACTTACATGTCAGGCATATCATAATAAAGAAAAAAATTAATAACAGTTCTGTATGGCAGAGATAAATTGTCGTTACATTTTCAAAGTTTTAGAAGACAATATTAGTAGTTTATTTAAGTGCTCTCCTTTTTGTTATATTTTAATTAATTTTCGAGAGTGTAAACATATATCACGGTGTGAACCTTTTAAAAAAATACTAGAATAATGAAATTTCCATAATAAAATTAGTATTGGAGTAAGATAGTTGGTGTCTGATGTAGAGGGTTAAACCTACCATGATATTATATAAAAAGAAAACCTAAATCAATTTAATATTTCTTTTTCAGATTGAAGATCCGGTACGTGATGCCGTCTGCACGGCTGACTCTCCGCGAGGAGGACGTCTTGCGGCTCACGTTGGAGTTCCTCCACAACCGGGAGCTTCATATATCACAGCTGTCCTTGGAGCGTGAATCGGGCGTTATCAACGGAAACTATTCTGACGATGTTTTCTATCTCCGGCAGCTCATACTCGACGGGCAGTGGGACGACGTTCTGGAGTTTATCCAGCCACTTGAAGTTTTACCTGCATTTGATATGAGGAAGTTTCAGTACATAATTTTAAAACACAAGTACGTCGAACTCCTTTGCATAAAATCAGAAGCTGGTGCCCTAACGGGTGGCAGTGTCGAATCAGCTGTAGACGAAGTCGTGAAAGTCCTTAGTGAACTAGAGAAGGTGGCTCCATCTAAAGAAGAATATTCAAGTCTCTGCCTTTTGTTAACGCTTCCTCGATTAACAGATCACCTGCAATACAAAAATTGGAACCCTAGCAATGCGCGAGTGCTATGTTTTCGTGACGTGTACCCTCTCGTTGAAAAATTCTTGCCCGCGGAAAGACGGGCGAGTGGTGGCGGTGACAGTGCAGGTGCGGCTAGAAACGACCGACTTATACAACTAATTATCAAAGGTATCCTGTACGAATCCTGTGTGAACTATTGCCAAGCTAAAGCCGTGGGCTCGGCCGACCCTAGCAGTCACGAAATGAACTTTTCTAAATTATTGGACAGTTCGGCTGCATTCAGTGATTCTGATCTCAGCTTACTATCTTGGCTTCAAAGCATTCCAGCAGAAACTTTCTCAGTTCCTTTTGAGCAGAAGACATTAAACGTTGACGTAGAGCGATTAGAGCGGCCGTGCTTGGAGACTTCTTGGACCGAACACATGCTAGTAACTCCCATCAAACCCAAGACATTCCCCTATTCCGAAATGCCTTTTAGAAGGCCTCGATCAGCGGCTGATATAATGACACGATCTCTTCTTCCAGCCCTCGAAGGCTTACCGTTCGGCCTCCAGCTTCAAAACCATTCTGCAGGTGGTAAGAAATCTAACTTGGCTGCAGGTGATAGTGAAAATCCCATGAGCAGATCGTCATTCGCTAGTTTTCATCTTACCGGACTGAAGAACAACAAAACCATGAACACATCTGTTGACAGGTTGTTCGAAAACGACAATGACGTCTTCCTAAGCAGCAGCTACACGGAGTTTCAGCTGCCATCCATCTCGGAAGGAACAAGCACCCCCTTGCCTAATAGAGGAAGGTCCACTAGCCCGAAAAGAAGCATCGCATCCACCCTTCCTTCGACCCCTTCGACCCCGGAACACAGGGGCAGTCCTGCCACTTCCAGCTCCACTACGGCGCGCTCCTCTCGGCGGGACTCGCTTTCGGAGAAGCCTCTTTCAACAACTGTTGTTTTTTCTGAAACCAGTTTCGAAGGTGACTTGGTAAAAGAATACCAGAAGATCAAACAACGACTACAGGAAAACAACCAGCGTCCTGAAGACAGGTAGGAACATTTAATATTCATTTAAACTATAATAGTACTTGTTGTAGGCAGCTTCGCAGAGAGTGTTTTTAAATAAATGTTAAAAAAATAGCTTAATCCTAGGTCACATCTTGTCAAGTTTCGATAACCGAACATGATCTATTTTTGATAAATTTAGGAATTCCTTTTTTGGATTTACTCATGGTTAGAAATTATTAGTCAGTTCTGTGTAGTCAGTTCGAATATCGGGGGTCGGCCATCACTGTTTCTAACTATGGATGGTCACTGACGTAGAGTCACTGATTTCAATGAAACTTTTTTTTGGTGGTACTAGGTCGAAAAATATTAGAATTATGTCCGAGGGTTCTAGGCAATACGCCTTATGAGCCAAAAAATAAGTATTTCTTAAAATTTTAATATTTTATGTTATCCTTTTCTTGCTTTGCATGGATTTATTTGTTTGTATATCAAACATTTTGTTTTTGTGTGTAAAAATAGAAAAAAAATATTGATGATTATATTACAACAATTCAAATGTATAAAGTAGGCCAAGATTTTGAATTTTTGAATACAATGAGCAATATTCTTTACTTATGTTACACATAGAAACAAACAGATTGCTACATTGTAATCTAGAAATCCATGCAGACCAAAGGCAGGAAAGAATAATTTATAAAAAGTTTACAAATTTTATTTTACACGGTTTCCAGGTCACATCCCCTTGACAGTAATAAACGTTTAAAAATAGAATAAATAAATATAATCGTTACTTATTTATTTGCAATTATTCATTAATTGATTTGTGTAGGTTATGAATAAATATTAGTTCCTACAAATAAACTTACCCATACAAATTGAGGATTGGTATGGATCAACAATTGTAGACAATAATAAATCATCTCAATTTTTTATATAGTAAATATTTTTGATTTTGGTTGTAGGACCTTTTCTTGAATTTTTATATTGGGTTTTTGATCTTCAAATCTTAATTTCCCTTTGTGCCTGATTGACCAAATTATATAGCAGTTTGAGAAATACTATATTAATAATGTTTTTGGTGATCTTTGAAACCAGCCAGGTGCAGGTTACTACGAGGTCTTAAATAAAATGAGGATTTTATTGTTAAATAGGTAGAGGGATCGGGACTTACCTGCTCGTTTTACCTGAGATTGGTTGTGTGGTGCAATGCTGGTCCGTTGTAGCTGCATTATCAGTTTTGTGAAAACATGCGTTATTGGTAAGCCTCATCTTTACGATTGCGGTCGATCATCAAAAAGAACAAAACGCAACTCTAATAATGGTGGAATATTCTATTCTACCTTATACGTTTCGGTCTACTACTCGTGCGTCTACCCGTTGGTTCATCGCTAATTGCCTTTATTATGTGTTTCGTTCTAGCTCAACAACTTGACGCACCTAGCTTAATAATCTTCAACTTTAATTTACCTCTCCATTCTGTCTATTCTTCTGATTTTTTAAATTGATTCAGCTTTTTTATATTGAATAAACACCGTCCCCTAGTCTTAATTTAAGCATGTTCTATATTATCTTAAAATATTTTTTCAAAACATTATTTCTGACTGTTTATTTTACTCTTCTTGTCTTTTGTCATTAATAAAAGTAAATGGACAAAGTAGCGTCTGCCGCTTCAACCTATTGTCATTCTTCTCGCATGTTTATGCTTCATTCAACATTTCTTTTTCTTCAATAAACGAGGTTAAAATATTTAGATCTCACCACTGCTACTTGAAAGTTTCGTAAGAAGTCCACAAGTTAGCAATGTTTTACTATCTCAAAAAACAGCAGAACGACCAGTGGACATGGAAGGTTTCATTAATTAATTTTGTAGAAAAATGTTCTCTGGCAATTTTTCAACAGCTTTAGCCAATACAAGATTTTAAATGTCTTAAAAATTAAAAAAAAAAAACCTAATGAGCAGCACGAAAAATGTTTACTTAAGTACATGTTGCACTGTTATTTATTCCTGCCGGATAGAAGAATAAGAATATTTTAGCATGAACAGAAAGCTTGTGAAATAGTTTATTGTAGTCTCGAGACTACTCTAAAAAAGTCTCGCACCTGGCAAACTTTGAGAAAAAAAGAGAAGAATTTGAGGAAAAATAGTTATGTCATAAGCAACGCGGGAATTTTTATACGAAAATGTTGTTATGATAGAGATAATCTTGAAATACCTTGCTAGGCAAGTTTTTTAGTTATTTACATCTTAAAGACAGAAATATATCATTATTTTTTATGAAAGTTAGGCTAATGTGATCAATCTTGGGACTTACTTTAAGGTTTGTTTATTCAATATTAAAAAATATTTTGGTGACTGAAAAGGCTGAATCCGATGTTTTGTTGAAATTACATCATTAGGGCAGCTTATGAAATGGCTCATTTCAACCTTAAGATTACCCATTATAATCTTAAAGCTAAATCGGAATGAAGCTCTTAGCTTTGTGAGATTTAATTTGTTTTATGGTTATTTTGACTGGAGGCAAGGGTCTTCTATTTCTATTCACCGCTGTCTCGAACGAGGATTCTCATTTTTAGTTCATAAATTTTCTTCCTTCAATGCACTATCGAAATGATTAACTATCTGCAGTATTTTATCTTTTAAAATTAATACTTTAGTAAGCAAATTAAACCGAAGTTATAGCTCTACGGTTCACTCCTCTCCACTACTGGCCTTGTGGAGATATAATGCCGTGACGCCCTATTTTCTTCAACCTTTTATTGCAATTTGTTGCAGAATATTCTAGATTTGGTCCAGCTTTCACCACTGATCTTATTTTTTGAATTATCTGATGTTTTTTTATCTGATCTTATTTGACAAACCTTTTATAGAAAGAACGGCTAATTTTCTAATTTTTAAATTAGAATAAAACTATAATTGGACTCATCCATTCACTTTACGTAGAAACATCAATATTAACTGGATATAATTAAATTTATATTATATTATATAAGAAAAAGATCGATTGCTCTTGTTTTTTGCTTGTAATGCAAAGTTAAATAAAGTGAAATACCGTAAGCAGGGACCATGAGGACTATCTTGAGATTTGGGAAGGATATACGAGTAAGATCTAGTTGTATACGTAGGATCTAGTATGAGAGGATCTGTTGGATTGTACGGAAAATAATGCAAGATTTTGAGTTTTCTTTAAAATACCCTTTACTGTATTATTCATTTATATGAACGTCAATATAATAAGCATTAATAAAATCCTCTTCCAAACGATGTTTGTTTACCTCTGTAGCATTTCGCTGCTTAGAAATAATTCAGTCTTTACTAAGATATCAATGCGTGATTTTTGTATAATTATGTATTACAAGTTTAAACTCGGTCGGAATGGGGTCCTGACGGCCAGAAACATTAATCAAGCCTGAGGCGACAGCTGCATTAATGAGTGCACTGTTCAACGGTGTTTAAAAAAAATAAGGGAGGGAGACTGCAACCTTGAAGACAAAGAAGGTCGTGGAAGGAGATCCTTTCTTGATGAAGATGTTCTGCTTAACTTGTAGGGATACTTACCATAGCAAATCGACCCCTCGATGACCACCCCAATTGGCAATTGGAAAGGTAAAAAAGCTTGCAAGTTAGGTTCCACACACATTAAACGACCGCTAAAAAAAACCAACGTTATGAAGTTTGTGCTGCACTTCTTTGTCGAATCAAAAGCGATCCTTTTCTGTTCAGAATTATTTTTTGTGATGGAAAGTGGAGACTTTACGGTATTAGTAGACTTTCAATGGCTCGACAAAGGAGAAGCAGCAGACATTTTTCCAAAGTACTCAACTCATCATAAAAAGGTGATGGTTACTGTTTGGTTGCCTTCATTTGGTTTAACTATAGCTTCTTAAATCCTGAGAAACCATCATCGTATTGTAATCAAATTAATACAATGCATCGTCTTTGTTCAATCGGAAGTGGCCCATTTTGTTTTCATGACAACGCCCAGCCGCATGTCTCACGTGTGACGTCAAACAAATTGTTGGAGCTTGGATATAAAACTCTGCCACATCTGCCCTACTCTCCAGACCTCTCGCCTACGGATTATCGTTTTTTTTTTTAGACACCTGGCCACTACTAATGAGACAAAAATTTAATGGACAAAGGGAATAGACAATGCGTTTTTGGAGTTTATCAATTCTAAAGATGGGAAATTGTATTGGGAGGGAATGGAAAAGTTGCCAACACGTTGGCAGAAATGTATTGATAGTAGCGGAGACTATTTTGATTTAATAAAACAGTTGCAGATCTTTGTTTTTTTCTTTTTGAACTAAAATCCTTGGTTTTTTTTTCTTTTTTTTCAGACAACCCGATGTGATTCATAAATTGATTTATCAGCACCTATGGACTCAAGTGTCTTATCGTGCTCAAAACCTTTTTTAAAAAAAATATATTTCAAGAAACTTTAGTTTGAAATATCGTCTTTTAATTTATGTATATATTTTTAAAAATTTTGTTAGTGATATCGAAGAAAAGGGAAATAAAAAAAATAGTCTCGGTCTATATATGAGTCTCTAAGGAACAGAATAATTTTTTATTTACGAATGAATCATATAGATTAAAAAATTCCAATTAAAAAAGAATTATGTAGATATTGTTAAAAAAAAAATAAAGATATGTATTTATTTAAATTCATTAGATGAAATTAAATATTTGATTATACATGTCTATAGATTCTGTAATTTTCATGACGATAATATTTATTGCTTAAAATGTTTTATCTTGTTTTGAATGGTAAAGATAATGAAAATTTTTGATCTATACAAAAAAAATGTTTTACTTTATTACTTGCCTACCTGTACTAGGCAAGAAAAGTATTGTGATCAAATTTCCGATGTACGTTGTTTGAAGAATCTATACGTTTCAGAGTCCTGAGTCCGAAAGGTTTATTCACTTTATTTTTTTTTTAAAGGTAATGAAATCCCCTACAAAACTATATAAAAAAAGTGGATTATCAAAAATTCATTTGATTTTTAAATATTTAATTCCTGAGTGTATTATGATCATCGCCT